CTTTAAAACACAATAAATAATATTCTTCGTTATTTCATATTTTTATATGCACTTCAAAAAATATAAACTTATTGTTAGTTTGAAACAAAAAAAAAAAAGAAAGAGAGAGAAAGACATAAAGGAAAAATAAACACAATAAAATAAAATCTGATGATATCTTCACAAAAACGGAAATGCTCTCTGATGATATTTTTAAGATTTATATACAATATTTTCTTACATTTATTTAAACGTATACTATTTACCATAGAATTAGAATATTTTCAAATGAAGATTTCATCTTAAGAATCCTGAAAGTATCTATTTATTTTTAACTATGGTTAGAAGAATGTAAAAAAGGGATATTAGTAAAAGTGAAAATTCAATTGAAATATAAGACACGGGTACGTGCCAAGAAACCATTTTCATTGATAATGTTTACTGAAAGAAAATGAAGTCGAGAGAAAAGAAAGCAAATAGTTACGTTTTTAAATAACCTTCGACACGCGATATCATTTTATTTATTTTTAGATCATGACCATGGGTGGTGGTGTTCGAATTTAGAGGAAAAATAGAAAAAAAAAAAAAGGTAAGAGAGACAAAACAGAAAGCCTATCTTATTCGGAAAAAGAATCAATTTAGATAAAACGTATTCGTGACTTTGATTTTTTTTTTCTCTTTTTTTTTTTTTTTGATAATAAAAAGACAACTATTTTTTCCTACGAACGTTTTACTCGCACGAAACATTGTTATGACCTTTTTACAGTCTTAATGGGACGCAATAACGCAAAATGTTCTGAATAAAGGTGAAATATACAGTTGGGAGATTAGACAAAAATATGAGATAAAACGTAAACGCGAATACATTTATATTAAATACACAAATAATGTTTACATATAAAATTATAATCATATATGAATAGAATTATTAATTAGTAAAATTAATCGTTATTCAAAATTGAAAAATATCATTCTTAATTATACCATGAAATAAACCTTTTATACACTTTCAAATAATTCCAGATAGAGCAAGTTTACGAGGTAATCGAACATGAACTATAAAAGACCGTAATGGCGTAAGCCATTATACTTCTTTAATGCTCTAAACATAACGAAAGAAACGAAGTCGTTTTTTTTTTTTTAAGAGAGTACACAGTACTTCGGGAATCAAACGTTTCTCTTATTAGCTTCATTATTTTCTTCTTCGGTTTTTTTTTTTTTTTTTTTTTTCAATGAAATAATACGCTTTTCTTCAGTTTATTATAATGTCTATGTTGAAAGTTTTTACGTATCTTATATTTTGTACTATTTTATGTTATTCGTATTAACGAAAGAAATTAGATCTCTGTGTACCATATAACAGAAATGGCATTTCTCATTAAGTTAGTAGTCTCTCTTTTTGTTAAATTATACTTCTCTTTGTTCAGCAAAAACTCACTGGCAAAAAATATAGGAAAGCATCAAAGAAGAAAATTCTTGAGTTTCACATTTCCGTTACTACTAGCATATGTGTTTGTATTCTTGATTAGCACGTTTTAATTAAAACGTATATTGTTTCAGAAAATTAAATACTCATGTGAACAAGAATATGAGAATACAATTTTATTTACATTCTTTTTTTTTCCTGCATATTTGTTAATGTAATACATATTTGAAATAAATTTGATGAATAATTTTCTAATTTATCACGAATGAAATCAATAATATAATGCGATATCGACAAGTTAGAATTCTACCTTATCGACATCATGGATTACTCATTAACCCCTTAAGTTGAAAATTTTGATTAATTTCGTCATTTTTTGCCAAAATAATGTTCTAAATTGTGTTTTTTTAAATAAAAACAAAATTGTTTTTTTGGACCTGTTTAAAAAAAAAAGAAAAACTGTGCGTTAACCGGGGTTAAACTTTACCACCAATGAATTTCAAATAATTAGAATAAAATAGACAGTGCCATCTACAAGTAAATTATTTTATCAAGTAAATAATTATTAATTTATACACAAATAATAAAAATGAAGAAAGTAGAAATTAAAAAAAAAAAATAATATGAAAATATTTGTTTCTTTCTGTCTCTCTCTTTCCTTCCTTCTTTTTTTTTTTACAAATTAATAACATAATTAAAAGATATCGTGTTCCAATTTTATAATACGAATATTAAAGTACTATTCTTATGAATATTTCAATTTTGATTAGCCATGATTTGAGAAAAGGTAAATTGAACAAATTTCTATCATTTTCTTAGGAAATACTTTCAACTAAAACTTACCTTAATATTTACTTTATCATAGATGATGAAATATCTTTGAATAATAAACCAAGGTTCATTCATAAAATCGTAGTCATAAAATGTAATGCTAGTCGGAAAATGTAAATCGGTAGAGGGATCGTTTCCAAATGTTTCCCGTGTGTGCTGCGTTTTCCTTTCATGACTCAGATGTTTATTAGTGCAAGCTCTGGGATCATAAAACATAAATTTATTATACGTTATGATCTGTATTCGAATATAGAACAATTTCAAAAATGAACTTAATTATAAACAATTTCCAAAAATATTTTACAATATAGACAATTTACAAAGAGAAGGAACATTTGCATAATTTAATACATTATATAACATATACAGTTTAAATTAACAAAATTTCAATATATAAAATATAATACAATTGAATGATTTTCAATTTTTCATCGATCATGAAATGTTCGAAAAATTCTCATATTCATTCAAAAATATATTATAATTTTATATACGTTTTTTCTTAGACATGCAAATGATAAATAAATATTAATTAATAAAAAAAAATTGGAATGTTTGAAATTCTTTTTAAAAATACCTTCATTTTCCTGAATATTTGTCAAATTCAATCATTGCATCGTGTTCTGTTTTCAATTCACAATTTTCACTAATATTCACCAACAATTTCACATAACTTTGTAAATATTTATTCTTTCAGTTCTATATAAAATGTTAATTAATAAACAACAAAAATTTACACACTGTATTTTCTTAATATTCACAAAACAACAATAATTATTCTGCTACGTCGCGAAGAGATTTCAAACTGAAGACCAGTAGCGTTCTGTAAAATTCAAACAGAAAATTGCTAATGCTGATTGGTCAATCGCTCAAACCCATTGCGAAATCCAATCAACCAATCAGCGACCCTGTCTCTTACTTTATATAACTTCAGTCATCACATAAACAATGTATATTATTCAATTACGAATGTATTACATGCAAATAAGGACTCTCCTTATTAAAGATTTTAAACGATTGGACAATTCGTCTTACTTGTGTAATCGTCCAATCATCGTCGAGATGCATACATGATATAAACAATCTAAAAATAAATACTAGATATTTATTTTTATATATATATATATATATATATATATATATATATATATATATATATATACCAATAATTAAAGATTTGTTTCTTCTTTTATTTAATATATGTGTGTAATGATTTATATATTATTTAAATAATAACTCTTTTAAAATAATTAATGAACTAACGATAAGGAATGGTAGGTAGCACGATTGAAACTAAAAAGGTGGCAAGATTTTATATTCATTTATGAGAATCTTATGAGATATTCTTACTTATCTTGGTTAAATATTAGCATTACTAATAAGATCTTATATTTACCGTTACTGGTGTGTTACATTGAGAAAAAGATACACGGATAATTCAAGGAAAAAATCATTGAAAGTGAGTGGATCATTTGCATTTTTTTTTTTTTTTTTAAAGATTAAACTCTTATCTAATAAAACATTAAAGATGAAATATGTTTGTTTATGGATAAAAATATTGAGAAACTTATGAATGTGATTTTTATACAATACATTATTATATATACTGTCTAGTAGAGGAAGTATTTTATTGTAGTATTAGTATGATATATATATATATATATATATATTATTAATTATATTTTAATAACTAACACATATAATTATACGTTAGTAAAGATGATTTATAATTTGATGAAATTTATTCAGATAATATTTTTGGACGGTCTATTAATATAATCATTTTAAATACCCAAAATATTTACTCACCTTGTGGTGAGTACTACAACATTTGAAATTCCCGCCATTGTATATATAGAATGATATATATGATACTCGCATGTAACTTTCTAATTTATGAATATATTTTTTATTATTATTGTTTCTTTAAATGATATTATTCAGAAATATTCATTATCATGTTCATTAATGGTAAAATAATGTCATTGATATCTAGAAAAATTCTTGTGGTTATCTATAAAAAGTATTTTACTAATACGTTTATAGATATATACAAATCAAAATATGTCTATAATACATTTTTAATAATTTAGCATTTAATCAATGCTTGATATTTAAATAATACCTTAATTTTATATATTCTAATATTTATAACGTTTGTAAAATTAATTTTATGCTGTTCAATGTTTCAATATTTGTAATAAGTATAAATTATAAGTACTGTATTAAAATTGCTACACATTAAGTGATGATCATTTTTTGATAATGTATTAGTGATGTTTAAACAACTGTATTGTAGCAATTATTGATATTATATTAACATATTTTATCATATGTTAACTAAATAAATATATAATTAGATTATCTATATGTTAAACCTATATTAAACTATATATATATATATAAAATTATCATAAAGTTACAAGTATTATACTAAATTAGATTATAATTAATAATTATGTTAATTTTATAAATGAATAATTCAAATATATAAATAGGTAATTATATATTAACTCTTGACTATATGTTTATTTGTCAAAAGCAGTACCTTTTATATCAATAATGATAAAAGAAAAAGTTTTAGTGCCAGAATAAGTACATAGAGTTAATAACCCTAAATATATGATAACTAAGATTAATGAAATATTTTCATTTCGAATATAGTTTGACATTAGTATTGTTAATAATAATTTATTTATCGCTGCTTAATAGCACTAATTTTTTTTTTTTTACTAATTTAAGGACTAATATAAAAATATAAATAGCATCTGGCAACATGGCTGTATATTTGATTGTATATCTTTTTTTTTTTTTCAAGGGATATCATTTGTTACACTAATAACAATTGGCTTAAAATAATCTTTCTTCTTTCAAATGGTGTTTGAACACAGTTGATATCTTTCATATTCTTCAACTCGTTTTTATATTGTAAACAATACAATAATATTTTTTTTCTATTCCTTTCAAATATTCAAATTTTCTTGAATCGTCCCTGAGCATATAAAATTGCTGTCTTTTTTTCTACTTTATTATTATTTTTTTTTAATATCAATATCTTTCCTGTACATCTAATTTCACCTTAATCTTTTAAAAAATGATCAATTATGTCCTAAACGTTTCCTCTTGTGATTCACTTTCAGTTTCACCATTACATATATGTACAGAATCTGAAATACTTCCACCTAAAACATATGATATAATCCATTGATGAGAGTCAATAATTGAAAATTTAAATTAGCCTATAAAAAGTAAAAACAAGATTATATATAATTTATACATTATTAAATAATAATAATAATACAATCTTAAAAAAAAAAAACAAAAAAAAACAACAACACATGTTATATCCTTCCAGATAAACTTGGGAATGAAGAAATTATTGTTAGATAAATTTCTTCAATTAATACAATAATTTCAACAAAAACAATAAACTCTTCATTTATATATTTTCCTTTTTTGTTTGTGATTTATTTTGTTTAATTTTAACTCTCTTGAAAACATACCTCGCATGCATACAATTAATTTGAATTGAATTGAAGCATTACTTTTTAAACTAATACACATATGCACATTTCACAAAATAATAATATTTGTGAAATAAAAAAAAAAACAAACTATGCATTACTATTAACTATCTAAGTGCACACAATTAAAACTAATTAATATTTTGCACACAATATAATAACATACTCAAATGCAATATTACATTTCATATGGTGTATATATTACTAAAATATATATATATATATATGATTATAAGTAAAATAAATAGAACAAAATTGTAAACATTAATTCTCAATATGGTAAAAATATTATTTATCATTTCGAGCATGATTTATATATGTAATATATGTTTCAAAGTTGTGTTGTTTAAATGTAAATTGTCTTCTGATAATTGAAAAGCACCATAGTTTTATGAAATGTTAGTGTGATCAAAGCTTCCCATGCTGTATCATTCTAAATTGAAGTAATATATATATATAAAAAGAAAAAAAATTGTAAATAAAACAATAAATACATAACATTTGAAATAAAATTGAAATAAGAAAGAATTAATAATATGAGTATGATTAACTGATAAAATAAAAACAAAAATATTAATAAACAAAAAACAAACCAAACTAAACTGATAATCAATTTAATCCAATAGATAATGCAACATTCAGAAATTGTTCATATTTGAAGCTTTTTTTCTACTGTATTATAAACAATATTAAAGCTGCATAAATTTAAATACAATTATTTGTTGTATTAGCATTGCAAATTTCAAACTATTTTAAAATGGATTTTTTTCTTTCATGCAAAAATAAATGATATGAGTAATATCCTTGTGACAATATCCTAGAAATTCTATAGATTTCTTATTTCTTGATCAAAATCAAAAACATAATCAAAATTTATTTAACAAGAAGAATCTTTTCTGAAAGGAAAAAAATTGATAATATCTAATTACACTTATCAGTTGATAATGTGGTGGTTGCATATGAAGAATAGACTGTTCAAGTGTTCATAAATAAATATTTAAAAAAAATATGTTGAATTATTTTTCACAAGAAAATTGTTAACAGCGCTGTACATCCATGGCATATAAAATTTCTCTTTTTTTTTTTGATTTTTTTTTTTTAAGAGTTATCATGAATAAGCCTTGATAATGAAAGACAATATACATAAAAATTAAATTGATTATCATGTTCCAATAAAATATAAACCAAAAGTCGTGAAAGTAAATTATGTACCAGATACACAGCACATTATCAGATGTGGCCCATTACAGACGATGACCTATAAACGTGTTGTTGCAGCTTGCCCATTATTCTTAGTATCTAGATATTTGTCTGCAAGAAAGATGTTTGCATATTATACAAAATAATGTCATGCACATTCCACACATTTTAACTGTGCAAGATAAATATATCGGCTAGAAAAATATAAAGCAATACACCCATCATCACCCATTATACTTGTAGTTTGTTATATAATTATTAAATTAATATATATATTTTTTTTTTCATTGTGTGTCTACATTTAAGTTAATTTAAATAAGTATTATGAGATTCTAATAAATAATAAAATTGTAACTTAGACACATATGTGTAGTATACAAAAGTTAAATATATTTATACTACGATAAAAAAAATATTATAATAATAATAATAATTAAAATGAGATGTTTTGTTTTACACAAAAGTAAATGATGATGAATACTTTTTGAATTGTTAGTAATGTTAATAAATTATAAATATCAAATCAAAGAGGAGACACATACACAAAGCATTGACATGACACTATATCACCATTTCCATGTATAGTATTGCAATATATAAACGGCTACTTGTTTACTACATTAACAGATGCAATTGTGCCTGAAGTGTCAGCGGCTAAAAAGAATAAAAAGTCATGCATACCCATTAATCCACATTATTTCAATTTAATTTCAATCGAATAATACACAAACACTATAATTTACACCTACATGCAATAATATTTGGAAAATTATAGTAGCATCTACTTATTCCTGATTATAAACATAGATCACAAAGCAATAATGCAAAAGATTATAAATATATGAAGATCATAGGATCTTTAAGAATATAGTCTGTTCATTCTGTTGTTATAATTCGAATAAGAGTTCATATGTCTCTAATAATGAAGTTAACTTGAAATATGCAATAAACTTCATAACAGAGACGAAAGAGGTGATAAGAGAGTAACGTAGAATTGTACAAAATATAAAAGATATTTTCACTTACTTGTAGCAGTAAGTAGATCAACTGATGCTTTGTCTTTCTCTATATATAGAGCAGTGAAAAAGAAGAACAAGGATCCAACAACTTGAACAAAAATAGTAACGAATAGTGCATATTGTAAACTACGAAATTCTACAATATCATTGTAAACTGTAGGAATATCACTGGCAGCACCACCTAAACTCAGATCTGGTAGAATAACTACTTTTAGCCCTTCTGATATCTGAAAAATGTTTCGATTAATAAATTTTCAAATAAGTCAATGAATAAATGAATAAATGAATATAACTAAGAAACATCATATCTCAACTTACCAGACCTATAAGGTAAGGACTTCCAGCATCTCCAAAGGCATGTGCAAATAATATTTGAAATGCTTCTGCCGTAGATCTTCTAGTTGGTATTACTACATACTGGAAAGTTATATTGCATATCGTTCTTAATAAATAGTGATACATATTAAATAATGTAAAGTTAATTATTATCTGTAATATAATACTCACAAGCAACATATCTGCTACAATAGCCCAATTTAAATTTAAAGCTACTTGTCCTAAAAATATTAACACGTAACAAAGAGTAGCATTAGTATTAGCAGTAATTATTGCAAAAAATATTAATGGAGCGCTTATTAATAGACCGGTAGCACATATTAATGGGTCTGTAGTTGTCCAACGTACTCGAAGTTTTTGTGCTATAAAAGATCCTAAAGGTACTCCTATTATCCCAGACATCATTCCTATTAATCCAAATTTATAATCCACACTGTAAGTAAACACGCAATACATTAACAAATCAAAAAATGTAATAATAATTTATAAATCAAATTTTGTTGTCTTACTCAAGTGAATCTACTTCAGATCCAGTTAATTTAAATCCTATTTGCAAATATGTTGGTGCCCACCAAGATAATGCGCCAGCAACAAACGATACGCATGTAAATCCAGCTGTAGAAAGTGTAAAACTTGGACTAAAAAAAGCATTATAAATAAACAATAATTTACTTAATCAATTTGACACAAAATAAAAATGTTTTGAATTTTTATTGTGATTTATATCATTAACTTACTTCTTCGTTAAAGCTTTCACATCTTGTAACCATGCTGTATTAGTAATATGCATACCACCTTCTCTTTCACCTCTAACAGGTTCTCTTACTCCAATAAGTAATAGTATAATTGCTACTATTCCTAATACAGGTGTGACACGTAAACCCCATTGCCATGAACCTGTTGCTTTTGACATTTCACCTCCGATAATATAACCCATTCCACTGGAAAAGATACAAATTTATATATATATTATTTGTATTCTTTTTTTTATATATAATTTTTGAATATGTCAAGAATTACCTTCCAACGGGTATTGCAAAGTAGAATAATGCGAGCATTTTGGAACGGACATCATCAATAAATAAATCACTAATTAATGTTGGTGCAATTGTTGAATAACTAGCTTCTCCTATGCCAACCATCGCTCTGAATATTAAAAATGTCTCAAATGTCTGAAAAAATGTCATATACGATGAGTAAAATTATTAAAGTAACTTAATTTAAAAATAAATATTAGTGAGACTTTTTATATAAATATAAACAGATTTTTATCTTACGTACTACAGTTTGAAATGATTAAATATGTGTTACCGTCATAAAAGATCCAATAAATGTGGTAAGACTCCATAGGAAGACACCTATACCCATGATGGTTTTACGATTATACCTATCACCAAGATATCCAAATAATGGTGCGAATATCATATAACTTATAATAAATGCTGTCTGTAATAAGCCAGACTTATCATAACCAATATGAAAGTCATCCTTGATTTTTCTTAACATATATATATATATATATATATATATATATATATATATATTATAGATCATAAGTGCATGTAAAAATGTTAAGATAATTTATAAACATAAAAATGAGTATAGAAAATGTTAATAATTACCAGCAACAGTGAAACGGTCCATATAATTTATTAAATTAATGAAGCATAATATTGTTACAGTGATCAATTCACTGGGTCTAACTTCTCTTAGGTTAAATGGCATTTTTAATTATGTTTTTACACGATTTGAAATTTTTTTTATTAATATCAAATATTATTACGATTCATTTGGTATAGCTCTGCTATAATAATAATTCGATTCATTCACTTCATACACAATGTGTACAATTTTTCCCAAGCTAATTTGTACTCAAATTAGTATTTCTAGTTTTATAATATAACCTCTTGTTGGGCTTTTCATTAATTTCAATAGTTAAGTTGAACGTAAACTAAAGTCACTATCGCATTTGTCTAATAATACCGATTTTCGTACGATAAATTTAAATAAAAACATTTCGTCATTTATTAGGATGATTTAATTTTCTGTTTACATGTATATGTAAACTGCATACACTACCACCTGTACATTTTAAATATGGCAATGCACTTTTTCAACTAATTGTAAAGTAAAATTACATATCACTTTAATTACAACGAACTTTATTGGAAAATGTTTGTATATATATATATATATATATATATTATATAAATATATAAAATATTTTACTATAATAAATTAATAATTATTATATATAATTACATAAATAACATTTAATAGTTAAATGTTGCATTTGTCTTAAAAAAAATTTTCAAATTTACCGCGGCTTATATTATGCGTATAGATCTTAAGATGGCGTGGTTACTTCGGTAGATGGCGTAAAATATCATTCGGAATAATATACTACACTAGCTTTAATTCATTCTAATGAGTGTCAATGGGCGTTGTCTAATAACAATTTGGCATTAAAGTTTTTTTGTTATCATTAAGTCAAAATGTGGCAGGAAGGCTACGTGTTTTTAATATTTATGTTTATCTGCATTTGTATAAATGGTATTAATGAAATATTCATTTTTATTAAAAAATTTTCTTATTAACCTAAATTTAAGTTAACTTTTGTTACTTATATTAATCATTTATATTATAATATAGTTTATATAATTCATAAGTATGATATTTTTATGTTAATAACAAACAAGTAGTGAAATGTATCATAGTAAAGTGAGAATGTTTTATTTATAGGATTAAAAGTGAATAATACGATGACATGGTGCACTGTATCTGATGGCGAACAAAATAAATGTGAAGCTTTCTCAAATGCAGTTGCTCGTGATATGACTTTCTTTGGAAGGACCTATCTTACATTGAAGTGTAAACAAGCATTTAATAAGGAAGAGTGTATGTCAATGTTGGATCAAGAAAAAGCTGAAATGACAACATTAGATGCTGGAGAAGTGTTTTTAGCAGGGCGTTATCATAGTTTGGTCCCCATTATGCAAGAAATATATGAAAGTGGTGTTAATTATCAATATACTGTTGCTGTTATTAAGAAAGGGTCTTTATCAGATGTAGAAACGTTAGAAAATCTTCGAGGAAAAAAAGCATGTTTTGCAGGCGTTGGTACGCTTGCCAGTTGGGTTATTCCTATTCTTACGGTAAGTAAAATCTGATATAGAAATGTTAATTTTGTATTATATATACATTTCAAATATATTATATTAGTTTTATGTGTTATATTTATTAATACAATTTATTATAGATATGACTTTATTTATTTCAGTTAATGAAGCAAGGTGGAATGGAAGTTATTGATTGTAATAATCATGTCAAATCTGCAATTAAATATTTTGGACCAAGTTGTGCGGTAAACTCATTGATAGATAAATATAATCCTTTAGGTACGTATATAAAACATAAATTAGTATTTACATAAATGTATGAATGTATTGAACAATGATCTATATATTTTAGGCGATAATTCTGACCAGTTATGCAAACTTTGTATTGGAAAACCACCAACTGATAAATGCACAAATGCAGATCCTTATGCAGGATATGAGGGTGCTTTTCGTTGCTTAGTAAATGCTGGAGAGATTGCATTTTTAGTTCATACAACTGTACAAGAAATGACATCATCTACATTTGAATTCAGTAAGTGTGTAAATAAATGTGCTTCGTCAATAGATAATAAATTATTAATTCGTTCTTTTTTTTTTTTTTTAATAGATAATATTACGAAAGATCAATTCGAATTATTATGCAAGGATGGAACACGAAAATCAATAAACGAATATAAGACTTGTAATTGGGGTACTGTTCCTTCTCGTGCAGTGGTGACGTCTTCTGTAACAAAAAGTGAAATTCGTAGATTATATCAAAAATTTCTCGAAAAAGCGGTTAAAATATTTAACAAAAATAAAAGGAACGATTCAACGGATATTTATAATAATCGTTTTGATAATCGACAAGGTGATTTTGAAAATAGATTAGGATACGAAGACAGATATAAAGAAAATGATTTTGGATATAATAATCGAAATGAGTACAATACAGACAACTCTAATGATTACAATAGAAGTTACGATGACAGCTACACAAACTCGAATACATGGAATAGGGAACACAATAACACGTATAATAATTATCCAGTTAACGATTATTCTGAAACGACAAATATTCAACCGATCGAAACATTTGATTTATTTGAATCAGCTCCCAAATATGGCATTCATCATAATCTAATATTTTCGGTATTAATTATATTTTGAAATAATTATCATGCATTTTTAATTATTTTGTGTATTTATGATTGTGTCTGTACTTATAGGATTCAGCTAAAGATTTTGTATCATTGCCTGAAAAAGATCAAACGTATACAGGATATTTAGGTAGATCATTAGATTCTATTTTAGGAGTACGTCAATGTCCTGTCAACAGGATGACATTGTGCGTTACGTCCGATCCTGAAATGGAAAAGTGTGTAAAGATGAAGGTAATTTTCATTTTTAAATTACTACTATTACAAATCAATTAATAGACTAATAAAATAAAATATTTCTGATTACTTTATAGATTGCTTTGAAAGCACAACTTCTGAAACCAGAATTATTATGCCATAAGGCATATAGTCAAATAAATTGTATGCAAGCAATACAAAATGGGTATGTATGACAAGTTAACAAATGATTAAAAATATAGTATATAAAATAATACATTACATTAAATTGTACATTAATTTCAGAATTGCAGATGTAACAGTTTTAGATGCCAGTGATGTATATACCGCTGGTTTGCGTTTTGAATTAATTCCATTCATATCCGAAGTATATAATCTTGGTACACCTGATTATTATGTAGTTGCTGTTGCGAAGGAAGAGGATGATAATACAGACTTAACGTATCTCAAAAACAAATATACCTGTCATACTGGAATTAATACTGCAGCAGGATGGGTCTATCCATTGGCGTATCTTCTCTCAAATCAATGGATTAGAGGCTATGGTTGCAATTCCGTACGCGCAGCTGCTGAATATTTCACTAAATCATGCGTGCCAGGTGCGCTGAGTCCTGAATACAATACAGGTAAGTTTTTGAAGTTTGTACACTTTGTATATAATAATTATTTTAATGTAACATATATTTCAATTAATTGATTAATCATTTCAGGTGTTCCATACGATAATATGTGTGACTTATGTCATGGAACAAGTAACAAATATTGTCGAAGGGACGCTTCGGAGGATTATTATGGGTATACTGGTGCTTTTAGATGTTTGGTTGAAGGAGGTGGTGATGTAGCATTCGTCAAACATACAACGGTTGCTGAAAACACTGATGGTAAAAGAAGAGAATTTTGGGCACGTAATACATTTACAAAAGATTTTGAATTACTTTGTCCCGATGGTACTCGTCGACCAACTACAGACTACGAACATTGTAATTTAGGAAAAGTAGCAGCTAATGCTATTGTTACACGTGGGGGTTATTACGGTTACAATGAGACGCAAATCAATGCTTATATAAATCTGTTTATTTATGCACAACAATTGTATGGTAGGAAGGATCCAGATGAGTTTAGTTTCAGTATGTTCTACAGCATTCCACCGTATAGTGATCTCATTTTCCAAGATGCAACTCAACAATTAGTTATTATTCCACCTGAAAAAAGACAATTTAGCGCATATCTTGGACGAGATTTTATGAGAGCTAGAAGAATCGTAGATTGTAATGCTGGTGCAGCTTCTTTAGAACATTCCATAATTGCTACGATATTAATGCTTATCTTAACTTACTGGATAAGAGATCTGAATACTTAATTTTTATACGCGATCATAAATTAATTGAATCTCGTATCTTCCAAAAATATATTTTTAAATATTACGTGTCAACAGATCAATCTGAAATCGTGTTCATCTAATATACGCGTAAATAGTACAATCAATCATTGGTCATCGAATAGGATGACTATTTTATAGATTTTATAAGTTTTTATATTTTATAACTTTTTTTTACCATAGGTAATAATATATGCCTTATTAATCTAAGATAACCGATATCGATTATTATATGGTCAATATTAAATCCGTCCATTTACAAAAGAAATATATATGTATAGATATAAATATAGGTATTATATATATATATAGTATACACACATATGTAATATATATTTTCTAAGATTACATGGTCACAGTAACCACTTCGTCTTATGTTAGTACATAACAGTATCTATTAATGTAGATAGATATTAATTATAATATTTGAAATGAATACAAAAGGAAGATGATAAACTTGTTGATCTTCGAATAAATGAAACCGTCCATTTTGAATATCAAATGATTTTTATTTATTTTTAGATAAGTATAATATATTTTCATGATAAATGACATTCTTATAATGAACGATAGATATTTTACAATGGAAAAAAATACAATATTTACGACCTTTTGATTTGATTTATTGTATCGAAATAAATTATGATTACCCTGGCCAGGGATTAATTGATTTTAACTTAAGTGATATATTGTTGAGTAATCGGAAATAGTGACTGTGTTCTTCGTGACCGAAGCAATTATCGTTGAGGATATTATTCAAATTGCGTTTCTCAACGATCATTGGATATCGGCGAAGCTTCGAGATCGCGTCAGGTAATATCCGTTTCTGTCTGTCCAGGATATTACTTAAGACTCCTGATGGTTTCTAACTGTGTCGTGCGAAAATTCAAATCGATTTGTATAAGTCAGTCAATGTGCGTGTCCATTTCAGTTCATTTGATAAATTAATGATAATCCTAATTTTAATTGGATTACAATTATAAATAAAAGATCTATACTTCAAAAAAAAAAAAGAAAAAAGAAAATTTGTATGTTTATAAAAAAAATTAGATTAACCTTTTTATTGTATTCTTTTTCAATAAAGGTTGACAAATATTCATTAAATACACTTCGACACATATTTGATTCTTAAGTATAGCGACTATATATGTTTCTTAACAGAAAAAAAAAAAAAAAAATCGACGTAGAGAAATTATAAGCTATGTTAGTTGTGCTTCATTTTTATATTATTACAAACTACTATATGATGTAATAATAAATAATAGAACGAAACTTTATGTGGAAATACGATTTCACGTTTATTCGCAATTTCGTCCGAAATATTTAACGATTAGATAGAAAACTATGATGAGTAAAGTAACTTTTAACTATTTGCAACACCTCGTACTACTTTCGAATGACAATCACATACATGTTCTATTATTGATCTTTCATTTTCTTTTTTATTTTCTTGTAATTTTACGCTCTTCGATCATCGCTCTTGTGATCGTTGTTGTTACGGTAGAAAAGTTCGTAGAACGATCCTCTTATAAACATCATTTTGAAAGATTTCTTTGGACGCACATATGGGACATTGAAATTACATAGTTTTATAGTTCTTTCTTACAAAATTATAACTTTGATAAGAAGGCACGTTTGTAAAATGTCAAAGTATACTACTTAATTATCTTTTCGTTAAATTTCGTAATTAAGTTTAATCGATGTCTGATATTACTTTGCTTTCGCTCAACCGATGTATGTCACTGTTCGTTCGTGGATTATAATTTTTTATTGTAAATTTCAAATTATGGTAAATGTCCATTGAAGAAACACATGCGCCTGTACGATGGCAACTACGTCTGACTTAGAGAGAACTTTAGTTGGATTCATTTGAAAAGAGAGGTCATTTAATCGCACAAGAAAGCGGGTGAAACAATTAAGTTAACACCTACATTCACACACTCACACACATATCACATTAACTTACACAAATGCACACAGAGATTTCATAGCGTATTTTCCTGGGAAACGACAGAAGTCACGATCGTTTTTACTATCGTTTTCTTTTATCTTTCTTTTAGCGCATTTGTTGTTGGAACAATATTTTTGCAATGTTTTTTTTTTTTTTTCTTAAATTTTTCTTCTTTAAGAAAATAGAATGTATGTATAAATGTAATTATTTGATTCTTTTCAAGAAAATTGAGAATTAGTAGGGATAAAGCTTCTTAATATATATAAATTAAGTGTCACGTTGTTTGTCCACAATGAACTCCTAAACTACTGAACTGATTTTAATCAAATTTTACACACTGTGTGCAGTTTCATCCAACTTGAAAGATAAGATAGTTAATATCTCAATTTATAATCGCAATGATTATAAATTGACTTAAAGACGTGTGTATCGGACTGATTGTGAGTCACAGCAACGCGTGGCGGGGGCACCCCTAGTTTGATATATTTAAAGCTTAAAGAATTCATTTAAATTTTCAATAAAATCTGTATTATTTGTTATCTCCTACTCCGTGCTAAGAAATTATGTGAAGAATAAAGTAGTGGTTTATTTATTTAAAAGAGACAAATCATGTTCATGTTTCTTGTTCGAATTTTTCTAAGTACGCACAATGTACAGAAGATTGTAAGTTACAGATAGTATAAAAGCGAATGGAGGAGAATGTTGGACCGCGAAGGAACGTTCTTTAGAAAATACGAATGAAAAGAGCTCTGGATATTCGAGATCGAATCAAGAACAAAGTATGAGAATATACGTTACGCGAATGTATTTATGTATATATATATATATATATATAGGTATATGTCGAGAGTGAACGTGGACTTTTAGCGCTTCTATCGAAATTATTATTCCGTGCTGCGTTCTGCACGCACCTCTTATTTACATAATCTTCCGATCGTTCGTAGAAATTAGATGCGAGCCTACTATGTTGAACGCTATCCCGCTGTGGAATCATTCGAGGGGTAGATCCATACATGCAAGTTCTATATGCTAAAAGATGTAAAGAGAGAGAGAGAGAGAGAGAGAGAGAGAGAAGAAAAGGATTTAATACTCCGATTATTGGAATTAATTTGAGACAAGAATGACTTGGATAATTAGATTAAGAAAGAGTTTTATATTAAAGGGATAAAAATAGCGCTACACAAAGTTTATTATTATAATATACAAATTTTGTGTATACTTTCTTGTATTTTTACGTTTATGAATTTTAAACAGAGGGAGGACAGTGGACAAGATGAGAATGATTTAATAAATACTCCGATTATTGGAATTAATTTGTGACAAGAGTAACTCGGATAATTAGATTAAATAAGAGAATTTTATATTGAAGAAAAATAGAGTGTTTATTATAACGTCAATATGGTATATTTATTCTTTGTGTTCTTTGATATTCTCTTTTGTATGTATTTTAAAGAGAGTGTGTGTGTGTGTGTGTGAGAGAGAGAGAGAAAGAGAAATCAAAAGAATCACAAGTGTCGTAGATTGTTGTTGTATAGTGAATGTAGACTCCTACTTATCTATGTATGCACATATATACGTACATACTTACAATAGAGAATGCTAATTAATGGCGCATGTACAGGAAATGTATCTCGCCCCCGTTCGCCTTTCCTTTCTTCTGATTTTTTTTTTCTAACACGGAAATCTTTCGATGTCTATGAACGCTTTAGCAGCTATTCTAATTAATCGGAAACAAAGAAGGGTCTACGGGAGAAACATAACTGGTCTTATGTGTAAAAGTTAGGATCGTTACTACAGAAGAAAGGGTCCATTTGCCTCTCTCGGTAACACTTCGATTCTGAATCGAAAACACGAAGGATGCTAATTAACGAGGAGCCTAAGGAAAATTTATTCCACCTCTCTGATCCTCCGTCGAGCTCGATTTTTAATCGAACCCTTTGCACGTGAACGTCTTGTAGGTATCTTTAACAGTGTGCCTTCCTTCCCTCCCACTCCCCACTTCCTCAGACTTTCGATTCGGCGAGAACCCAAGAGAGAAGCGACGTGTACTGTGAACGAACCGATATATCGCGCATGATGCATCGTGTATGAATATTTAGGCTCGTCCTGTCTTTTATATATATATATATATATATATATATATATATATACTTTTTTTTTTCTTTATTTCTTTCTTTCGTAATACCCAGCTACAACGTATCCTTCGAGACGAGCGTGTTAGTGCTAATAAAAATCATCCTAAGAAGCAGATCGTTACCGCGTGCATCCTTTTTTTTTTATACCTTCATATGACATCGAACTCAGTCTTTCGAGGAACGAGCAACATATACCGATATATACATATAGTGGATATTGTAAGAGCTTAAGGGCAGTTACCTACTCGTAGTTCATATCGTCAACGTTTCGTTGGAACGAGGTACGGGCTCGTAAATCTGAAAAGAGTTATGGCATATTTTGCAACCAATTTGAAGTCATAAATTTGGTCCTCTGGAGAATATCCAGTACCCTGTAATATGAGAGAGCCGCTAATGTCCCTTCATTTATTCGTGAATATTTGCGATGAGAGAGAGAGAGAGAGAGAGAGAGAAAGAATAACAGTTAAAAGAATACAATTATTTTTCAAATGAATTTTAATCTTGCAATTTTTCGGTGGCCCATTTGAATATAATGTCGTTTATAAATATTTATTTTCATTTGAAATAAACAAATCTGCTAATAGTGTTATTTATAAAGCATCAAGGTGTTTTTTTTAATTAAGAGACCCGAGTTTTCTTGTATTAATGTTGTGAACTAATCGTACCTATGTGATTTTATCTGTTCGTTCGTCTCTTCGTTTTACATATAATAAGTTTGCTCATCGTTGGAGAACGATGTAACGCAGTGGAGTAATCGGTAAAAGTGTCGATTTCTCGCTCGGCTACGACTAACTAAGCTTCACCTTCGAATCTAACTTCGAACCAGTAGAACCGGATTTCGTTTGAATATGTCTCTCTCTCTCTCTCTCTCTCTCTCTCTCTCTCTTGGACCTCGAAAAGGGAAAACAAAAATGAAATAAAAGATTCTTGTAAAGAAGCATAGAATTCTCGCAAGTAAATTTTGTACGTTGGGGTGTACCTAAATTAAGTTTTTCTTCTGTTATCGTAGATATTCGAAGTGTATGATACGTAAATAAGAATTTTCAGTTTACGAAAGTATTAGTGATTTTTAAAGAAATCTTATTTACGACTTACCTAGTTTAACCTATTCCACGCTAAAAAAAAAAAAAAAGGATGATCTCAATTTTTCATCTGGCATAGTCAAGAAATGAGTATACAATTTGAACGTTAGGTACTGAAAGCAACAAAGGCTTCGAGATTACTAGTACGTGAGAAATATAAACAACGAGTCGCCTTGTTTTCTCATTAGCGGCAGGATATTTCTTGGTAATCTACAACGATCTTACTGTTTCTGTGAAAATCTTACTACAGAAAGTATATTCTTTGACGACGGATGGATGGCCGGTCGGTTTTAAAATTAGCGAAAGTTCAGCTTATTAAAGGCACATTTTGCGAATATTTTTAATACATTTTATGCGAGATATATTTTTTTTGATTTAACTGCAATAGAATAAATTTTCGATAAAAGAAAATCATCATTTATTTTTATTATATTTTATATAATATGTGATAATAATATTTTATATCGTGATACGTCAAAGATATACTTTGCAAATGATATACGAAAAACGTATTAACACTTGTTTTGCATAAAACGTGTTACAACTGATACTAACCATGATAATAATATTCGTATTATTTATGTTTTTTTTTTATTTCGTTAAATTTGACATAATCTTATTATCTTCCTCGTGTTTATATTATTTCGATCATGATTGATAATGAATCTTTGAAAGAATAACAATTTCATTCTAATCATGATTGACAATGAGATTGGTTCGTGACAAGTACACTGGCCGTTCATTTCCTCATTGGGGTGAAAAACCGCGAGAAGTCAAAGATATTGAGTTAAGAAGAGAGAGAGAGAGAGAGAGAGAGAAAGGAGGATGGTGAGCGTTATACCGGTCGATGAACATTATTCTCCGTCATCGGTGTGTCGATAATTTTTAAGTTCGGCATAATTCACAATCCTTCGGAATACCGACAAGAAGTTGCACCGGCATCGGTCAAAGGCGTCAATACAAAATCTCGTCTTGTGTTGATTTAATTCGCAATAAGACTTTCATGCCACGACTACGCCAATGCTTTTGTGTCTCGTAACGGGCCTTTCGAAGCACGGTCCGTTGCTCGAGCGTAAGTACTCGAAACTCATCGCTTCCTGTACCAACGGCTTTTTTCCATCTATCCTTTTCTTCTTCTTCTTCTTCTTCTTTCTCTAGTTCTATCTTTTTATTTTCTTCTTATTATATCTCATCTATGTGTTATCTTAACAAATAATTTGTAGATGGTTAACAGTTCTGTCAACAGGACGACTCACATATTGACCGACATTCCTCAACAAAGGGGCTTCTTGACATTTTAGATTTTGGCATCACCAATATTAAATTATACTTATATTCAAACGATAAAATTACTCAAATTTACTTCTAACCGTATAACCATATTATTTGTAAAAAAAAGTTCGAAAATCATCAAATTTTATGATAGACCAAAATTAATGAACAAAAGTACAAAGTGAATGAAGTTGAAGAAGATAAACTCACGTCTAAAATATATTTGTTTAAGCATTATATTGTATTTTCAGATAACTTATCGTTTTGTTCTATTTTATTTTACAGATATAACCATGGATTCTATTCCCTTCAATGATGTTGGATGAATTCTTCGATGGATCTTTGATGGATATTCAATAGATTTTTGGTGGATCTTCGATGGATCTTTTTCAATAGCTGATCATGTATCGTCTCTCATCGTCAGACTACAATTCTTGCTGCGAAGTAGGAGTGTTTTGGAGCCATCGCAGAACTTCTTAAACCGTGAGTTTTTATTTAAAGTTCTTCCAGTGCTCAATCATGCCGGACAATTGTATATTACTTTTCATATAATGTTTATTATATTTATATGTTATATACATTTTATGGCAAATGAAATCCAGCTAAAGATAGCTTACCATAAACATTATAATTGATATTTAGTTTCTTTTAACTTTCTAACTAATATAATATTTTTATTTCTTTTCTTGCTTTCTTCTATCCATTTCATCAGTAGAAACTAATTACTTTATAATGTTTTTTTTTTTTTTTTTTNTTTTTAATAATTTTTATTTATTTACAGGTACCATGGTTTACCTCAAAATCGTTGAAATTTCATTTACATTTTATTTTTTCAGAGTGAAATAGTTCTAATGTAAGTACAGTACAATCTTATTAATCCGGCACTATTAAAAATCAGAAAGTGCCGGATTATTGGAATGTTCGGATTACTGGATTATAAAGAAAAAAAGTGATAAGTTTTGAGCTTTGACGGTGGCGCGGGTGGGGGTGCCGGATTATTGGACGTATCGATCTATTGAAGTGCCGGATTAGTGAGATTATACTGTACTAGGATGGTTTTTAAATAACTGTATATATAATACATTAGTAAATATCATCTAATTCGGTTGATATATAATATAATATAAAATAATTAAGTCAACATTAAAGTATAATATGAAACAAAAATGACGTCTCCCAAACGTCATTGGATATCAAAGGATTAATGACTTTAAATGAAACGTAATTAGTTTATTAAATAAATAAAATATATTTTTTTTTTTAATTGAAATAAATAGAATGCATTTAATTTAGATGTATACATTATCATAAAAAAGAGAAATTACATTAGCGTTATAATCGCGCACGTGTCTCCACGGTAGTGTAGTGGGTGGGGGGTTGCGTGAATGAAAAGCTCGATCGGAAAGGCGGGGAGGGAGAGTGATCTATAGTCGTACAGCGAGAGGTCGAAAGATGGCACGGTGATCGTGCGGCGCCAGCTTGAAACACCTGACGGTCGACTTAGCAGTGCAGCATGGACTCGGCTGGCAGGCACACACTTCTTTCAAAGAAAACAGGTGCCAACGGCGAACGTGCTGTCGAGTACCGTTGTCGGATCGCACGCGAGTGAGACACACACACACACAYAATAGTGGTGTAACAATAAAAAACGAAATATCCTAAGAAAATATCCTTATTCCCAAAGCTCATTGAGACACTCAACCTTTACATGAATACGATTTACGAACTATTATTCTTTTTGGAAAAGATGAGAAGAAATACGAAATATGATAATAGACAAACATTGCAATCGTAACGATTAGAAAATATTTCAATATTTTTTAATAATAATCGACATTTGAAAATATATATATATATATATATATATATTCATTCGTCTTTAGTCCATGCGAATAATCGGTGAGGTTAGTCGCGAGTTCAAAATTCCCGCGCGTGATCTCTACCCTTCCCGCCCTTCCATTCAGCGTACGCGTCGATCATCAAGTATATAAAACGTAAGGGCCCGCGAGTAGTCGCACGATAAAGATGTGACGCAATTTGGACGTTCCTTTTACCGGCCCTTCGGAAGTGAGCGCGCGGAAAGAGGAAGAGCGAGAGAGATAGAACAAATTTTTACATTAATTTTTCTTTTTCTTTTTCTTTTTCTTTTCAATAAAAGTAAACAAAAATGACAGCGAAACGTTTATCGATAATGAAGGTACTATTTCTATTGACAATTTTTATATTTGAACTGATCTACGCCAAGGATGGATCGACATTGGAATACGAGGATTTTCTAATAACCACCGAGAGCTATGTTCATCTTCGCGTCGATAGAGGTTAGTCTAATTTTTTTTTTTGCAATTATCATTTTGAAAATTTCATTTATCGTATTATCATATTTACATAACATATGAAGCATTCAATTTTTTTTTTTTAGTGGGGAAAATTAATTTATCAAAAGGGCAAACGTCTTGTTACTAATTCTAGTAACAAGTAACAATTTGCGTTTTATTACGCTATTATTTTAACAATAGAAATTTAAAGTATATATATATAGATGTATGTACATCATCAATAAAAATAAGCACCCAAAATAACCAAATGGTCAATTTCCAAGTATAATTATGAGTTAACTTCATCATCTCTAATTTTGGAAGGTTTAAATAGGAAATCATTGCTGACAAAACAACAAAACAGAGAAAGAAAAGATCAACGAATTATCGTATTGCAAATGATTATTTCCTATCCTTTTAGAAAAAATAAGACATTAGTTGTGTAATAAAACGCACAAATGCAATATCCCTCCTAGGTAAGAAAAGGTTTCCCTTTAAACGTGAGAAATATTTAGGCGAAAGTTAAATCTATGTATTATAAACAGCTGCTGCGCGTTGGTTCTTACGAGAGAACATGAAGAACGAGAGGACGACGTACCAACGCAATTATGGAATATAATTACGCGATTAATTAACACCAGGATCGACTGTAGTTTAGTAATCCGTGCTGGTTTATGTACTCGAGAGAGAAGAACGAATAGATAATTCTATCTCTTTCTTTCATTCTCGCGATAATCATACGACAATCGCAACGTCAGAATCGTTGTAACGATGCTAAATGCCGAGAACTTTGTTGTTCTCTCTTTTTCTCTTTCTCTGTCTTTCTCTCTCTTTCTTTCTTTCTTTCTGTTTGCTATGCCTACGATGAACGACCTTTACTCCAACGCCTTCGTGAAAGTGCGATCGCATGAAGAAGTCCTTGCGCCTTTACGAAGCTACTTTACGATCTTTGCTATCTTACTTAGCGATTTCGTCGAATTTTAACGAGTTTCGTGTCTAGCTAGTCATGGTGATTTTTCGTGATCGACATTAATTCTTTTTAAAAAGTTGTCGTGTTGTCGTTGTCGTTGTCGTATTTTTACCATTATGTTATTACATGGGTGGATACCTAAGTGAAAAAATAATGAACAAGCGATAGGATGACTCGACTATTTGTATCTGATCGAGAAAGATCAACGAACTCTTGTTAACTCTTCTCGCACTTTGGGTCTTTTATCCTTCATAGGAGTGAAAGATGGTTCGGAAAGGAGACACCGATGTCGAGCAGGTTAAGCGGATGAAATTTTCTTCATGCATTATTTATGTTGTTACTGTATGTGTGTTGTTATTGTATGCCATAAGATTTGCTTGGACGATCTACTCCTTCCTTAGACTATCTCATTTACTTTGTATTTTATCGACCATGCAAAGCTTTAAATTGTTATCTTTTAAATGAAGACAAAAAAAAAGGCTTAACTATTCCCAAGATAGAAATAAAAAAAAAAAAACAAAAAAAATGTTGGATCGCGTTCCATTGCTCGTGATTAGACTATGCATCGATTGCCTTTAATAGAATCACTTAATTTGCATACACTTAGAAAGGCGGAAGCACGTTTCTTCGACGTCGACGAAGAGGACGCGCGCCAACTTGATGCGATTCTGAAAGACCCCTCGTCTAACTGTTGTCGCAAATTGTTCGCGTGCTCGCACTTTCTATTGGCACTTGATTACGATAAACCAAGCAGGTGAATTTTCAATTGAATTTTGTTCCTATGATTGTTCAATAAAGTATGTAAAATTTTACGATGCATTATGAAAAAGAAGATATTAGAAGAAAATCAGTTTTTATATCTCATTAAATCGTATCTACACGTAAAATACAATCTCAAATGTTATCTTATTTGTATATTCGTATGTGAGTGAATTCATGTGAGAGAACCTTTCTCTCCTTTATATTTTCATTATAAGTTGTTCGTGTAACCGGATAAATCTGTCACGCAAAGAGGCTTTTCACTCCCTAGACACGACTTCTCGGACTAATGCCAGTTTCCACGCAGCTATTCCAACGTTTAGTTTACGAGGTGCGAGAGAGTACGATGTAGCTAATGCATATGCATGCAGAAAGGAGGAGCGCAATAGAACGTTCTAGGTACAAACGTGAAATCTTTTTTCCAAGCTCGTTGCCTTGGTACGTGCTCGGACGATGAAAGAGAAAGAAATGGAAGAAAAGTAACCTACGTATATATTTTTATAAATGTATAACTATATATATCTATATACATGTTTATTTGTATAATATATATATGTATCTTCGCGCGTTCAAAGCTTATGACTTTTTAAGATTATTTTACGAGAATTCACCGCTTTGAGCCTTTAGTTAACGATTAGAAATTTATTATTAGCCAATGTTATTTACGACATGTAACGTGACTTCTAATGAATCACGCGAGCCCAATTTGGTGCACTTGAGAGAGTGCACCATATCATCCTTTGCCGCTTTCAACCATGGATATATTCGCTCACGTTTCTTCAACGAAGTATCGTTTTAAACGATCCCATACAATTATTATTTTCTTTTCTCTTCAAGCACGTTTTTACGAAGCTTTGAAGTTAACGTTATTCTGCTTCTCTTGGTTAACTCTAATATTTTTTACAAATTCATATTATCCTATACCTGAAAGAAGAATAAAAATCAAGTAATAAAATATTCAACTACTTTGTGCTTTTCGATAACACTATCAGTTGGTAAGATCTGGTAAGCGTGATATCCTTTATCTTTATACTATCGTATCCATGTACGGTCACATATGTCCTAATCCAAAAGCAAGGAAGGTCTTGTGTCTTTGATACTATCGAAGTAGCTCCTTAGATTAATGTATGTGCCATGTTAGATAATTGAAGGAGATTTAATTAAGATTAACTCGGCCGCATCGTTGCGTATACTCGTTCAAAGTGAAACGTATGAAATGAATGAAATAACTTCGATTCAAATCTTAACTATAAATAGAATCATATATCTATCTAATTTGGTATATATAATTTTCTACAAAAAACTTAACTTAAAAAAAAAATATATATATATATATAATATAAAAAAAAAGTAGTAAAGAAAAAGAACAAACAAGAAATAAGTAGGTAGGAATACATCGTAAAAATTCAAATCACTACTTTAGATCGTGCAGGTGGAACGCAGGTTGGACGTTGCTCTTCGGTAAACAGATACGGACCATCATTCGTCTGGTTGCTGAGTTTCAAAGTAGTATGAAGAAGGTATCTTGTACCTTCTTCTTTCCGCAGGATATAAAGCAAATTTATACCCGGTCACTTGCACCGTATGTCATTATCCGTCATTACGACCGAACGAAGGAAGGATCAGCATTGGACCCTGTCCGTTCTCTTGCGTGCCACGTTAAGTCGTCCTTGACGTTACCAGTACTACAAATTCATGCAACCTGTCCTTCTAACGCGATCAGTATTTACAGAATCTTCCTGCACCTTAGCTACAGTTTGCATGTCCACACATACGCAAAGGTCTACATGCCGAGGGATAGGATATCGTTTAGGTCATTAAGGCTCGGGAGATGGTATCGACTTGTTTTATTCCATTTTTCCATCCTTGCTTCCTTTCATCGTGTTCGTGTTCGTTTGTAGCAGTGATTCGACTTTATAGCGATCATAAGTTACTTACTATAAAATCAAATCTCTTTACTTATGTTCAAACTTTATTTTTCCTTTTTCCTATATGAAGACAACTTCGTTTTATCTTTAAGTAATTTTTCTGTTTTTTTTCTTTTTGTTTTCTTATAATACTACCCTCTCTATTATTCTACATTTGCGAAATAATACGTATAAGAGTATACATACGGTATTTCCTTAAACTTATTCGAGATTGTTGTAAGTAGGGGTATGTTTGGTTAAAAGATTCAAGCAAATCGATTATGGAGAAAACGTAGGAGTTTCTTCGAGCCAACGATTCTCGATAACGAGATTCACGTTGCTGTCCGTCATTAGTCTCCCCCCTCCCCTTTCAACCTCTTTCTTTTTATCCCCCTTATTCCCTCCTTTCTGTTCCCCACTCACATCAGTATAGTGGATCCGTTTAAGAATAATAGCGGACGATCGCAGAAAGTACCTCGCGAGCGGCTGGTAACGCAGGTCGACGGTGCAGGTCGGCAGCGTGCGCCTCGAATTCGCGCGATGGTATCGACCGTAAGCGCCTGTCTTTATTCCCTCGGTCTCGCATTGGATCTCCTTCTCGAGATACGAGGCATTAAAGTCTCCACCGCGAAGAGATCCTTTCCTTCTTCTTCATACCTTTTCTCTCTCTCTCTCTCTCTCGTTACATTCCATCGTTCAAGATATATGTATACATTCTCGGTAAAATGTGCTCAATTGGGTAGGAGGGTTAGAAGGAAATGGTAGGAGTAACGATGATTACGGCATCCGACTTGTTGCAAAGAAAAGGAACGAAGAAAATGATTGGTCCGTTCTCGAGATCTTGCGAATGCCTTATTTCTCGACTTAAGCTAATATACCTTTCAGTGCTCTTATTCGTAAGATTTTTGTTTTGTAAGAAAAATAAATGTGAGGGATAAACAGGGTACTTAAAAATAAAGAAAACAAAAATATAATTATCTTTTCTATATATATATATATATTATAAGTAGACGTTATTGATAATATTATATAGAGTGAAAAAAAGGGATTTTATTGAAATAATCCGAAGGAATCTTAGTTAACGAGTCTCACGATACTTGCTCTATTTTTGACCCCCCTTCTTAAGGAGATGATCTGCTCTTCAAGGATAGCTTCTATCGGCTTCGTTCGATAAAACGTATCGTACGAGTAAAGAAAAATCTAAGGGAACGCGAAGAACTCCGATGGGTCTTATTCGTTGTCTCGTCGTCGTCGTCGTTGTCGTCGGCGGCAGTTGTGGTTGTCTCTTCGTAGTTGTCAAAGGAAGAAAGAAAATGAGGAAAAGAAGGACGAGACGTCGTGCTGGTTCTTCTTCTTCTTCTTCTTCT